CCGGAGGAAGTGGTAGAGGTGAGTTCAACTACAACATTTAAAAGACATCTGGATAGGTACATGCGTAGGAAGGATTTATACAGTTATGGCCAAATGCTGGCAAACGGGACTAGATCATTTAGTACATCTGGTCAGAATGGAAGACTTGGTCCAAAAGGTCTGTTTCTGTGATGTTCAATGCTATGACTTTATGGCTTTATGACGTTTTTCCTGAAACTTATACGTTAAAGTTTGGAACAACAAGAAAGAAACGTTTCCAGACATTTGAAAAATTTGCAAAAGGAATGGAACTGCTGAAGAACAATTGTTTCAATCACTGAAGTTAAGAATGGAAGGGAAGTGATGAGCATGGGGAAATTAAATCGTCAGTCACAGCATCACCCAGCGGCGGGGATGAACATACATATCATTCATAGCAACACCCAGAGGCAGGGATGATGATTCATATATGTTCACAGCAGCACCCACCTACAAGGACAAATGTATCAGCCATAACACCTGCCAGTGGAGGGGTTGAGGATATTTCTCTCCTGCAGGAAATACCGAGTGTGGGCTCTGAATTCGTCAACAGGAAACTCTTGGCTGTGATTTTCCAATGAGTCTACTTTCTTTCAAAGTGTGGCAAGGTGATATCCACAAAAACGAATAGATCAAGCATTCCGAATCGACTCCACTATCCCACACTCACTTCACCCCTCCATCCCAACCCGAGTGGCAAACAGGCTTGTGCATGCGGTTTCAGCATTGACCATACACTAACAGCCCTGTTGCTGAGAGAGTGGAGATGTGAAACCACTCAGATGCTCTAAGCTGCCCAGCTCTGGCTTGATTTGGTCAGAGTCTCGGCCAGTGATTTCCACCATTTCACCAGCCCCGCGTAGAAAGAAGACAGCCGGGGTCACAGTCATTGCACTGCTTATCTGCCTGGATATCACTTCCCCTTTTCTATGAAGCTTCCTGACACAGAGTGAAATCCACTTGTTCTCCTCCAGAACTGATCTCAATGTTACATTTCATTATTTCTTTTCTTTTCCCCCATCAATCTATCATTCATGCTGTCTCAGGATTGATTCTAATTCAATTGAAAAATATTTATCCCCAATAGCAGATTTTGTACTCCTGGATTCGTACAGCTTTGACTTGGAAAACATTATCACACGTAGGAGCATAAGTAGGCCATTCAACTAATCGAGTCTGCTCCACCATTCAATGAGATCGTGGCTGATCTCATCATCCTCCCCTGCACTTTCCTTGTTTCGTTAATGGGGATGGGGTGAATTTGGAGTGTGCAATCATCATTCTCTTCTCTCTTAAAGGAAGTACAGACCATCCAGACGCTGCTCTGTCATTCAGACTCAGAAAAGCTAGTTAAAGTGTAGGGGGCTCACGCTTTGGGGACAGATGTATGTCCACCATGTAATCCCAGCAATTTATATTTTGGCTACAGACACCCAGGCTTTATAAAGTTGTCTCGTCTCTGCAGGGAGCCTCTTAAGAACATAACATCTAGGAGCAGGAGGAGGCCATTCAGATGCTCCAGCCTGTTCCACCATACAACACCATCATTGCGGATCTCATCTCGACCTCAACTCCAGTTTCCTGCTAACTCCCCACAATCCCCTTAACCAATTTTTAATTAATTATCTATAAGATCCTCGAAGTTACTCAGTGTCCTCGCATACCCTTGAAAAGGGCAGCGGAGTGGTGAGCTGATTGGCTGATGTGGGGAAGATCTGCATCAGTGCAGTTCGTGCTTCCAGAAGATGAACTTCAGCAAGATACCCTCCGTGTTCAAGTGAAGGCAAGTACCTTGAATAGGGCAGCAGAATGGTGATGCTGATTGGCTGACGTGGGGAAGATCTGCATCAGTGCGGTCACTGTTTCCAGAAGGTGGTTTGCGGAGGGGCTGTTGTTAAGTGACAGATCTAGATCGGTTGTTGACTTGGGCAGAGAGATGGCAGATGGAGTTTAATCCAGAAAAATGTGATATAATGCATTTTGGAAGGTCTAATCCAGATGGAAAATATACAGTAAATAGCACAACCCTTAAGAGTACTGCTAGGCAGAGGGATCTGGGTGTACAGGTACCCAGGTCATTGAAAGTGGCAACGCAGGTGGAAAAGGTAGTCAACAAGGCATATGGCATGCTTGCTTCATTGGCTGGGCATTGAGTTAAAAAATTGGCAGGTAATGTTGCAGCTTTATAGAACCTTAGTTAGGCCACATTTGGAATATTGTGTTCAATGCTGGTCACCACGCTACCAGAAGGATTTGTTGGCTTTGGAGAGGGTACAGAAAAGACTTACCGGCATGATACCTGGTATGGAGGGCAGTAGCTATGAGGAGAGGTTGGAGAAACTTGGGTTGTTCTCACTGGAACGACGGAGGTTGAGGGGTGACTTGATAGAGTTCTACAAGATTGTGAAGGGCATGGACAGTCAGAAACTTTTTCCCAGGTTGGAAGAGTCAGTTACCAGGGGCCATGGGTTTAAGGTGCGAGGGGCAAGGTTTAAAGGTGATGTACAAGGCAAGTTTTTTACACTGAGGGTGATGGGTGCCTGGAACCCGCTGCTGGGGGAGATAGTGGAAGCAGATACTACAGTGACTTTTAACAGTCGTCTTGACAAATATACGAATAGGATGGGAAAAGAGGGATACAGTCCCCGGAAGGGTAGGGGGTTTTAGTTGTGACAAGCATATTGGTGCAGGTTTGGAGGGCCGAAGGGCCTGTTCCTGTGCTGTAATTTTGTTTGTTCTTTGTTCTACATGGAGCTTCATAGATTCACAACTTGAGATAAGTCATTCCTCCTCATCTCTGCTTTAAATCTGCTACCCCTTATCATAAATCCACGACATCTCGGTCTAGATTGTCCCACATGAAAAACATCCTCTCTACGTTGACTTTGTAAATCCCCTTTAGTATTTTATACACCTCAATTAGTTCTCTCATTCTTCTCAACACGGGAGAGTGCAGGCCAAAGCTGCTCAATCTCTCGTAATAAGACAAGTCTTGGCTCTTACTAGTGGGTCTCCCTTGCTAATCATTTAGCGTCAGGATTATCATGCACGTGAATAAGAGAAACAAATTCCTAGATGACTGTGAAGTTATCTGACAATGTTGAAATTTGGTTTCTACCCTGGGTCGATACATAAGATGTGAATGTGTGTGTGCGCATGTGTGTGTGTCCCTCTCTCCACATGCATGCCTATGTACCTGTATTAAACACAGAAAACTTAGGAACAGTATTAGACCATTTGGCCCATCAAGTCTGCTCTGCCATTAAATGCAATGACGGCTCAACCTCTATCTCAATGTCATTCTGCTGCTTTCCCCCATACACCTCAACAGCTTTTGCCTATTTCTTTCTAAAATAAATTCAATCACTTGGTCTCCACAACCTTCTGTGATGGAGAATTCCACAGGTTCACCATCCTCTGCGTGAAGACATTTTTCCTCATCTTGGTCACAAATGGCCTGCTCTGTATCCCAAGACTGTGTTCCTTTGTACTGAATTCTGGATATGTGTGTGTGAAAGACAGTGCGTGAAAAAGAGAAACTGTGTGAGAGTTAGGGAATGCTTGTGTGAATGTACATGTGAGACAGGAAGAGTTTTTTTTTGATTTGTTCACAGCATATGGGCATCGCTGGCTAGGCAGCATTTATTGCCCATCCTAATTGCCCAGAGGACAGTTAAGAGTCAACCGCATTGCTGTGGGTCTGGAGTCACATGTAGGGCATTAGTGAGCCAGATTAGTTTTTTTTCCCAACAATTGGCAATGGATTCACGGTCATCATTAGACTCATAATTCCAGATGTTTCCCCATGGCAGGATTTAAAGCCGGGTCGTCAGAACAATATCTGGGATTCTGGATTAATAGCCCAGCGAAAATAACCACGAGGCCATTGCTAATTGGAGTGAGAGCGTGTGTAAAAGAGAGAAAGGGTGAGTGTGAGAAAGAGAGTTAGAGAGAGTGCATGTAAGAGAAAGGGTGAGTGTGTGTATGTCTGTGTGAATATGGGTGTGTGTGAATTAGAAGGTGTAAGTATGTGAAAAAGTGAAAGTGTGTGTGACAGAGTTAGTGAGGGTCTGTGTAACAGAGATAGAGGGAATTGAGAGAGTATGTAAGACAGAGAATGTATAAAAAGTGTGTATGTGTGTGTGTGTGTGTGTGTGTGTGTGAGAGAGAGAGAGAGAGAAAGAGAGAGAACACATTCAGGCTGGACTGGGAAACAGGGCGGAGACAGAAACCTCTCTGTGGGTTTCTTCTTTATGACCCTCAGTGTGCTTCCCCTGACTCAGCATGTGTTTTAGACACTGCACCCACTAGTTACTCTTGTCAATTAGACTGCACTGAAGTATAGAGTCCAGGGAATCTAATTCTATCAGAATTATAGAGGGATTCCAAAGCTGCTATCATTAACAAGATCAATGACAAGCTGGAAGGTTAGATTAATCAGGACTGTGATCAGGCTGGGACACTTCTGTCTAAAAATAGAGAGCTCAATGACATGAGGTTTGATTGAGGTTTTTAAAATTCTGAGAGTTTGATAGAGTGGAATGTTCCATTTCTGTAACAAACAAAACTGAATTTGGTCAACATCACCCATTCCCGATAAATTCAGTCAGGAATTCAGGAGAAACATCCTCAGGCAGGGATATTGTGGAACTCGCTCCAACAGGGGTTAGGGGAAGGATGGTGCACTCGTTCCTACGAGAAGTGGAGGAGAACAGGGGACTTGCTCCTACGGGGTGTGGGGAGAGAAAGGGTGAGTCGCTCCCATGGGAAATGGCGGAGAATGGGGCACTCGCTCCCATGGGAAATGGGGGAGAATGAGGGACTTGCTTCTGCAGGGAGTGGTTGAGGCAAATATTTTTGATGTATGTTCCTATGCCATCATCTGATGTAATTCGGCGTAATATTGTTACAGGTGTAAAGTATCCACTGCCAAGTCCCACAGTGCCACTTTCAGTGTTCAATAATAAAGAGGAGTCATTTCGTGGTACCGTCTCATATTTATTCAGAGTTATATTTCCGGAAAGTTCACAAATGCAACATGGTCATTGTCTACAAAGGGAGATTGCACCCCATTCTATCCAGATCAAGAGTTTACACACACAATTCTGGCGACAATTGCAACAGGAAATCCCCACTCACCAAATGGAACAATCATTTCACCCACTCCTGAAACCCTTCAATGTTTGACGTGTTCACCAAATACTGACATTGCTGCAAAAATTACATTATAAAACAAAAATCAAACAACACTGTGCCGTTTGGCACACAGTGACTGACCCGTGACATATTATGCCTCAGAGCAGACAGTCACCGGAGCTGATGGTGTTGAGGAGAGGCGAGTTCAGTGAACTGTGCCTCACACTGCAGGAATATCTGGAGACTTTCTTCCAGTCAGTGGCCGGAACTGTCAGGTAACTGCTCAGGCTGTAGCTTTGATCACTGTCTGGGGACACGGCGCTTGTGGTCACCCCACTGTCTGTCTCTTTTCCATCTACACTCCAGCGGACCTGCACAAAGCCCAGCTTAAAGCGACTCACCAGACAGGACAGAGTGGCTGATCCCGTGTCTATTTGCTCTGGTGAAGGAGGTAGCAGAAGGACAGATGGTTTCTGATCATCACTACCTGTGTATATGTGGGGTGGGGGTGGGGGGTGGGGGAGGTGAGGGGAGACGGAGAGAGAGAGAGAGAATTATATATATGAAGAAAAAGATTAACTCATATTTGTGTGGGAGGGAGAATTATTTATATATATAAAACTTTGAATTGTGTGAGTGACAGAGAATCATTAATATATGTAACTCTCTGGCTGTGTGTCTGTGTTTGTGTGCATGCGTGTGTGTGTTTGTGTGTGTAGGACAGAGACAAAAAATTATTAACGTATAGCACTCTAACTTGTGTGCATGTGCGTGAAAAGGAGAGAAAGATTAATATATATCAATGACCTGTGGGTGTGAGTTTTTGTGTGTGTGTGTGTGTGTGTGTGTGTGTGCGCGTGCGTGTGTGTGTGTGTGTGTGTGTCAGAGGAGTCAACAGTGAGAGATTGATTAATGTACGTGTAATAGCACTGTGACTTGTGTGTGCGAGACAGAAAGAGAGAATAATTAGTTCATATAAGATGCTAACTTCTATGCGCGTGTGTGAGAGAGAATTATTAATATAACACTGAGCTGTGCATGTGAGAGAGGATTATTGAGTTAATCTCTGACCTATGTGTGTGTGTGAGAAAGGGCAACGGCAAGGGATAGAGAGAATTATTGATACAAATAATACTCTTCCCTGTGTGTTTCTGTAAAAGAGAGAGAATTATTAATAAAACACTGACCTGTATGTGAGAATTATTGATATATTCTATCTGACATGTATGTGCGTGTCTGTGTACTGGTGAGCATGTGTATATGTGTGTGTATGCGAAAGTATCTGTGTGGGCGTCTCTCTGCGTGTGTGTGTGTGTCTGTGTGTGTGTGAGTGTGTGTGTGTACATGTGTGTGTGTGTGAGAGAGACACCATTATTAATATAATCAACTGTCTGTCCTGTGTGCATCTGTGACTGACAAAATTATTGATATAATAATTTGTCTTGTGAGTATGAGTTCGATATGTTGCAAAATGTATTAAATCGTGATTTGGTGACATATGGAAAACATTATCGACTCTGAAGGGATAAAAATTTAACTCATCTGAATGAGAGATAGGTAGATAGATAGATAGATAGATAGATAGATAGATAGATAGAGATAGTAAGAACTACAGATGCTGGAGAATCTGAGATAACAGATTTTGTGGACTTCACAAGCTTCAAAATCTCCCCTCCCCCTATCGCATCCCAAAACCAGCCCAGCTCGTCCCCGCCTCCCTAACCTGTCCTTCCTCCCACCTATCCCCTCCTCCCACCTCAAGCCCCACCCCCATCTCCTACCTACGAACCTCATTCCCCCACCCCTTGACCTGTCCGTCCTCCCTGGACTGACCTATCTCCTCCCTACCTCCCCACCTACACTCACCTTTACTGGCTCCATCCCCGCCTCTTTGACCAGTCTGTCTCCTCTCCACCTATCTCCTTCTCTATCCATCTTCTATCCGCCTCCCCCTCTCTGCCTATTTATTTCAGAACCCCCTTCCCCTCCCCCATTTCTGAAGAAGGGTCTAGGGCCGAAACGTCAGCCTTCCTGCTCCTCTGGTGCTGCTTGGCCTGCTGTGTTCATCCAGCTCTACACCTTGTTATCTTAGATAGATAGATAGATAGATAGATAGATAGATAGATAGAGAGAGAGAGAGAGATAGAGAGAGAGAGGGAGAGAAAACAGAATCACTTACTCCGAACACTCAGGGCGGTTCCACCTCCGAAGATGTATCCCCACACTTCACAGTAATAGATGGCAGCATCATCAGAGACCACGTTTTCGATGGTTAGGATGTAACTGCTAGTGGACGAGTCTCGAGAAGGTTGGAAACGGTCAGTGAAGCCGGTGCCTCTGTGTATTGCACCATCAGCCTTATGCTGGAGCACAAACATTGGAGTTTCTCCGAGTGTCTGTCGGTACCAACGCATGTCGTAACTGTCCACAATACCGTTCTGCAGCACACACTTCAACCGGGCGGTCTGACCAACAGAAACTGGGTCAGAAATTGGACTCTGGTTGAGGACATCATCAGCCAAGGTATCTATAATTAAAGAAACACACAGGATGAAACAAAACCGACCAGTATTTAACAGACAGATATTAATCCAAGGCAATTTCTGACCTGTGACGTGGAGCAGCAGAGCCCACAACAGATGCAGCGTCCAAAACATTTTCGCTGGAGAATGTATGGAAGCAGCCAGCCGAGTGTAACCTTCAGTCGAACTGTTTGTTGTAAACTCCCGGGAAATGCTCTGCGCCCAGTGTCGGTAAATTGGAGCGGGCCCACCGGCTCTATTTAATCACTGGAATGCAAATGAAGGGGCAGAGACCAGGCAAATCGGCACTCCGGGTTTTCACCGATCTATTTCTGGCTTCTTACATCGTTGTCCACCTTCAACTTTTGCATTTACGAATGTTTAATGTCTGAATGGATTTTGTGTTCATAGGAACATAGTAAATAGGGACAGACATGGGCCATTCAGCTCTACGAGGCTGCTTTGCCTTTCAATGGGATTAAGTCGATCATTCAACTCAATCAATTCAATTGGATCATGTCTGATCATTCAACTCATTCCCCCTTCCCAATTTTGCCCTAAGAAACATATCCAACTCCTTCTTGAAAACATGCAATTAAAAAAAAAATTACAATTCTCTTTTCTCTTTCTCTGCTTCCCTGGGGTCATCGACTTACAGAGTCATAGAGGCATATATAGCATGGAAACAGGCCCTTTGGCCCAATTCGTCCAAGCAGATCAGATTTCCTAAGCTGAATTCTTCCCATTTGCTTGCATTTATCCCATATCCCTGTAAGCGTTTCCCATGCATTTGCCTGTCTAATTGTCTTTTAAATGTTGAAATTGTACCCACCCGTCCCACTCCCTCTGGCAGCTCGTTCCCTACACGCACCACCCTCTGTGTGAACAAGTTGTCCTTCAGGTTCCTATTAAATCTTTCCTCTCTCAACTTAAACCTAACCCATCTATTTTTCGACTCTCCACCACGGGGAGACACAACTTGACTATTAACATTATCTATGCGTCTTATGATTTATAAACCTCGATTACGTCATCCCTCAGCCTGCTATGCTCCAGCCGAAAAAATGTCCCAGCCTATTTAGCCTTTCTCCATAACTCAAGTAATCCAATCTTGTTAACATCCTTGTAATTATTTTTTACCCTTTCCAGTTTAATAACATCCTTCCTATAGAAGGGCGACCCGAATTGTACTTCAAATGTAGCATGAAAAATGTCTTGTACAGCTATAACATGACATCCCAACTCCTGTGCTCAATGCTCTGACCAATGAAGGCCACTGCGCCAAACACTTTCTTGGCCATCCTGTCCACCTATGATGTCACTTTCAAGAAACTATGCACCTGTACTCGTTGGTCTCTCTGTTCGACAACATTCCCCAGGGCCCCAGCATTAACTATTTAAGTCAGACCCAGTCCTTCAGCTCAGTTGGTACGTTTGTGATATAGAGTGACACCAGCAGTGTAGGTTCAATTCCTGCACCAGCTGCGGTTAAAATGAAGGACTCTCCTTACCAACCTCTCCCCTCACCCGCGATGTGGTGACCCTCAGGTTAAATAGCCACCAGTTGTCTCTGTAATGAGGTAGCAATCCTCTGGTTCTGTGGGAGTATGCTATCTTCACCCCATCTTTTCTTTTCTTCTCCTCTACTTTCATTTGAAGCCTTTTAATTTCCCTTTCCTTTTTGATCTCTAACTCAAACTTGTTCATTTTGATTCGAATCATAGTTAGTCCGAACTTTGCCATTTAATTTCCCATTTCCATCCTTCGGATCCTGAAATCTTCAACAGTCACTTTGAGCATTTCATCCTCACAGGATCCAGCTTTTGTTTCTACCTTCAATTTGTCTGGTAACTTTCTCCCTTCAGTGTTCATCAAAAGTTTCAAAGAAAAAGCCTTCTACTTCCCAAAACATTCAAAATTATTCTAACAGTTCAATCCATTCAGGAAAACTTACCAAACATTACCCCTTTCTCTCTATAACATTCAAGTTTGCAATTCTTTAAGAAAAGACATGAATCCATCTTACACTCACCTAATTGATATCCCGAACGAATCCCCTTTTTATGATTCTGGCTGATGGTACTGCTGGACAAATCAGATCGCAGAATGAACCCTAGCTCAATAGGTTAAGAGCAGGGAGGTAATGGTGGAGCTGTATGAAATACAGGTTAGACCACAGGCATAGGATTTTGTGCAGCGTTCTGGAATCCACATGAAAGGAAGGATGTGACAGTACTGGAGAGGATGCAAAGGAGATTTACCAGGATGTTGCCTTGGCTGGAGAGTCTCAGTTAAGAAGGTAGAATGGATTAACTGTTCTTTATTCCTTGGAGCAGAGGAGATTGTAAGAGGCCGTAGACCATAGAACAGTACAGCACAGGAATAGGCCATTCGGCCTGCCATATCTGTGCTGACCTTGATACCATTTTAAACTAATCCCATCTGTCTGCACATGGTCCATTTCGCTCTATTCCCTGCCTGTACACGTGTATGCCTGAATATCTCTTAAACATTGTTATTGTATCTGATTCTACCATCTTAAAGGAGATCAGGTTTAACACTTGGGGACGTTTCAGGATGAATCCTGGGTCAGTCATGACCTGGCAGCTTCCCCAGACTTGCAGGCTACTCTGATTATTCGTTGGCAAAAGTGCTGTGAGATGTATAAAATTATGACGGGTATAGATAGGGTAGTCAGCAAGGAGCCTTTCCCCTTTGCAGAGGGTACAATACCGGGAGATTGAAAGTAAGGGGCAGGAGTTTAAGAAGACATGTCAGGAAAATTGTTATCACCCAGAGGGTGGTGGAAATCTGGAACACACTGCCTGTGAAGCTGGTAGAGGCAAAAACCCTCATGTAATTGAAGAAGTATTTAGATGTGTACTTGTGATGCCAAGTCTACGGGTCAAGTGCTGGAAAATGAGATTAGAACAATTAGGGAGACCTTTTTGACCAGCTGAGATGATGGGCTGAAGGATTTTATGCCTGTACTGGAGATCTTTATGACTCTATGACTTTAATTTTTGATTGACGCCCTCCAACATTAATCACGCTCCGCTCAAAAACCTATTCACAGCTCTGCTCTGAGTCAGAACCCTTGACATACGGGATGTACTGCTGGCCTCGGTTTTGTCATGATTTTAAATCAGCATTGGTGAGACCATGAGTAAAGTGAACTCGGAAGAAGGAGACGAAGAGGGAAAGTCGGTTTTGAAATGGAATAACAAGGTTTCGATCGGGGGAGGCGATAGCCTAGTGGTATTATCCCTGGACTGTTAATCAGAAACACAGATAACATTCCACGAACCCATCCCGCCATAGCAGACGGTGGAATTTGAATTCAATAAATATCTGGAATTAAGAATCCAGTGAACCGATTGTTGGAAAAACCCTTCTGGTTCACTAATGCCCTTGAGAGAAGGAAACTGCCATCCTTACCTGGTCTGGCCCTCATGTGGTTGACTCTTAACTGCCTTCTGGGCAATTAAGGATGGGCAAAAAATTCTGCCTCGCCAGCGATGCTCTCATCCCCTAAAGGAATAAAGTTGAAAGGGAGAGGGAGACTACATTAGTAATTGGGTAAGGAAGAGGTAAATAGACATTGATGTGGGAAAGTGAGGAATTATTCTCTTTGATCAGAGGAAAGGGAAAACAGGATATTTCTGAAAGGGCTGGCATATTTTGGTTGTGAGAAGAATTGCGGATACAGGGAATAAAGAAAGTTAACAAACATTGCCGCATGCAGTTTAGGAAAGCAAATTATACTTTTAGATTCAGCTGTGGGATATGGGGATCTTGTTGGAACAGCATTTATTACTCGTTCTTAGTTGCCCCTTGAACAGGTGGTGAGATGGCTACTTGAATTATTGTCATCCGTGTCGCATTGGGACACCCACAGTGTGATGAGAGAGAACCTTTTGACCTAACAACCCTGAAGGAACAGCTGATATATTTCAATGTCAGGATTTTGAGTGATTTGGAGGGGAGCTTGCAAGAGGCGGTGTTTCCATATATCTGCTGCCCTTGTCCTTCTAGATGGAAGTGGTCATGGGTTTGGAAGGTGCTAAGGATTCTTGGCAAATTTCTGCTGTGCATCTTATAGGGAATGAAACTGCCATCCTATATGTGACTCCAGACCTACAGAAATGTGGTTGACTCTTAACTGCCCACTGGGAAATTAGGGATGGGCAGAAAATGCTGCCTAGCCAGCGACGTCCTCATCCTCTGAATGCTGCAATGAGTGTCCATGATAGAGGGCGTGTATTTGTAGAAATAGCATGTAAGGATTAAGTGAGGGGGCGAGAGAATATCAGGAAAGAATTTTAGGTCCGTTGTGGTGAAATGGTAATTTCTTTACCTTTGAGCCCGGAAGTCTGAGTTCAATTATCACTCAGTCCAGAGATATGTCATGACATATTTGAGCAGACGTATAAAAATATCTAGTAGTGAAGATTTAACTGCTGTTATACAATGAGTTGATGAGCGTACTCCTGCAGTAATGATTGCAGTTGTGGTCTCCTCACCTACGGAATGATAGACCCATCCCTGAAGGAACAGAGTGAAGCTTCATAAAGGGGAAGGGGCTGTCCTACAGGAAGAGTGTACACATAACCTCTTGCAATTCGAAGAATGAGCGGTGATCTCATTGCAAGGTATCAGATTTTGAAAGGTTTTGACGAGGTGGATATGGAGAGTCTGTACTCCCCCGCCCTCCAGCAAAACTCAAACCCCTCTGTATCAAACCGACTTGCTCGAGAGTCTAGAACACGTTGCAGCACAAGGGATCAGCCAATTTGGATTGAGATGAAGGGAAATTCTTTAGCTCAGAGGATGGTGAATCTGTGGCATTCTGTATGCCTGTCGAAGATTCTGATGGGTACAATTTTACACACAAAGTGATTCGAGGGATAAATGGTAGGAAAGTGAAGTTGTGGTGCAATCACCTATGATTGTACTGAAGAGCAGAGCACGATTAGGGGCCGAAGGGCTTCCTCTTTCTTAGGTGGAGCGTTTACTTGTTCTCTAAGGCATGCTGGTTTATTGGGGCGACACAGTGTCTCAGTGGTTAACACTGCTGCCTCACAGTGCCAGGGACTCGGGTTTGATGGAGTTTGCACATTCGCCCTAAGTCTGTGTGGTTTTCCTCCTGGTACTTTGGTTCCCTTCCACAGTTCAACAATGTTCAGCTTACGTGGC